TATGTCAACGCCCAGCACAGTGCAGAATCTGGTATAGAGAGCTCCGTATCATTTGCTGCATGTAGCTGGATGAGGGAAGTGTCCATTGAGGTTCACGGGAGACAGTGGGTTCTACTTAGGACAAAGGCCACTTCCTCCTGGGGTTTGAATTTTGATTCTTTTCTTTTGGTACTGGGGATTGAACCCAGCCTTTTTTATTTTTCATTTTGAGGCAGGGTCTCATTAAGTGGCCTCAAACTTGTGATCCTCCTGCCTCCTTAGGCTTCCAAGCTGCTGGGATTTAGCAAGCACCACTGTACCTGGCCAAAGCTGGGTTTCTTGGTGGTGTGAACTGGTAAGACCAGTACTTTGCCACGTGCCCTGGGCACCTGGATCGCAGCCGTTCCCGGCTTCCTCCCAACAGCTACCCAGGTCTCTAACAAGGCTGCTGCCTTCACTGCCCCTGCCACCTACTCTGGAGAGCTTCTCCAGATCCCTGATCCCCCACACCCTCTCCCAACCAATTTAGAGCATCCTTTCCTTTGCTGCCAGACAACTTGTTACAATGGAGACTAAAGGAGTCCCCGGGGGATGGGCAACTCAGCAGGGAAATCTCCAGACACTTGCTTCTCCAAAGGGACTGGTGGTCAAGAGGAGACCGTTCTCAATTTAAGTGGGATATTGACCACCCGTGACAATCAGGGTATCATCATAGCCCTAAGGTGACCAAAAGGAGTAAGACACTCTCTGCTCTGAAAGGCTCCCAACCCAGGAGGATAACAGGAGCTCTCCCAAAACAACCCTTGTACAACTTCTGGATTTGATAAAGTGCCAAGAAAGAGGTGGCCTCTCAGCCAAGACTTGAAGGAGGAAGGACAAGCCCATTGACAGAGGTGGGGTTGGCTGGGTACCCACCCCTTTTCCCCATGGAGCTGTTCCACTACCTATGACAGGAATGAAAAGGAGCAGCTCCTAGTTCTCAGCTGACAGCAGCTACCTGTCCCAGCGGCCTCCCTCTCCCCGGCTGTGCTTACAATCTTTGTTGGATCCCTGGAAATCCTGACCAAGGACCTGGGAAGGCTGTGTAAACTTCTTGTCCTTGGTCTAAAGATGTCACCTTGTCCTTGTGGACCTCAGAGAGCCTCTCTGTGAAACAAAGACAACACACTGCCTTACACAGTGATTGAAGCACTACGGGAACTGCGCCATTTGTGGGAAACTCAGAAGACTGGGTAGCTGGTGGGTTTGGGGCAGGACCCAGGAATGCAGGAGTCAAGGAATAATCTTTGAGGTGAGGGCTGGTAAGTTTTCTACTATTCTTGAAGCATAAGGCAATAGTCTCTAAACCCACCCAAGCAGACTCAAAAATGGAAGCCTCTGGCCCCGCGCCGTGGTGCACACCTATAATCCCAGTGGCTCGGGAGGCTGAGGCAGGAGGTTAGCAAGTTCAAAGCCAGCATTAGCAACTTAGTGAGGCCCTAAGAAATTTAGTGAGACCCTGTCTCAAAATTAAATGTAACAAAAGGCCGGGGATGTGACTCATAAGGGAGCCCCGAGAAAGGACAGGCAGATGGCTCACTGACATCTCATCCTTTCTGCTGTGCTCAGACATGCAGGTAAACAGGCCCTCAGCATCCAAAGGCCTTCTCTAACCTGGGTTGGGGGCTGGGCTAGTGCCCTGCCCCTCCTGCCACACCTTCTCTCCAGCATTTGTCATAAATTATAGTGATGAATTAGCAAACTATTAGATGACCTAAGAGTAGAGGTGTACTTTATGTGTCTTTTTGCTACTAATGTATGCCTAGCGCATAGCAGACCTCCGGACCTTTGTCCAGGAACCAAACAGATGCACACACCCTCCAAATTGCCAGCCCAGCACGATGACATTGTTTGTTCCTCCTACTCTGGCTTTGTAATCAAGAACCAAGAGCTTCCCAGTCCACACTCGATCATGCCAGAAAGTACTCCCTAGCAGTTGCAATGACCCAAGCCACCCAAGTACCAGAGACTTGCCCTGATCTCCTCTGTTAGCACAGCTTAGTTCAGAGGCTCATTTCTGGGTCCCTAAAGGTACTCTTTCTCTCTGCAGTTTAAGCAGACAAAGGACATCGTTCAATGACACTAAAATAAGCGGCTCTCTGGGGGGTGCTGGTTACCCAGCTCAGCTTGGGAAGGGCTCTCAGTCATCTGCAGTGGCCCAGAGAGCAGTTAGTTTAGACCAACCTCCTCAAAGGTCTCCCTCTTATCCACAGGTATGGGGCCTGTCTGCCACCCAGCTCCTTCTCTCCCATCCCCTATCATGTTTTCAAAGTGTCCCCTAATTAGGCTTCTCCCTCCATATCCCTGAGGACCAATCACACAGGCTGGTTTGTGAGTGTGGGCAAGTCACAGCAACTCCCTTTGAGTCGTAATTTCCTGGTTGTCATTTGGGAACAAAAAGCGACTGCAACTTATTTATTTATTGAGGATTAAATGAAATAGAAGCAAGTCTCTCTGACACACTGGCCCTTCTGGCCCTTCTGCCTCCTCTCAGTGGCTACCTGCGTCTCTACACAAAAACCAGCTTGCAGTCTACCCAGCCCAGCCCCAGGCCTCAGCTGCCAGACTCTCTGGAAACAAAGGAAATTCCCTCCCTCAGGGAGAATAGGGAGGAGGAAGGATTTAATGTAATAGCCACGGAAAGTGACTTGCCAGTTGGACAAGCTGGGGTGCACAGCCTTTAGGGCTCTAGGTCTTTCTCTGGCCAGTCACGTGGCCTTTGGGCAAATGCCGTTCCTTCTCTGTGCCTCATTTTCCTCCCCCATGAAGCAGAGTGCTGAACAGACATGAGAGACAGTGATTAGGGGTGGGGGCCCAGAGGGCCTGAAGTTGGGTGGGCACAGGGCCAGAAGCTGCTGCTTCCAGGGGTAGACACCTACGTGGGACCCAGATGAAGGACCCTACACCAGACCCACTCAGTTCTCAGCCCCACCGCAACAGCTCTTTTCTCTTGCCACTCTTGCCAATCAACCTTCTGCTTTTCGGGAGTCTCTTATGAGATAAATACCCCAATTTCTCTTTTTTCCCAACTCTATCTCCCCTCCCTCGGGGGGCATTCCCAGAATGCACATTCAGCCTCAAAACCCCTCGTCCTTCCAGCAGAACTTCAGCATTAAACTTATGGAGGGCAAAGGTCGCAGCCTGGATCTTCTTTATGGCCAAAGCCTGGCCCAGGAAACAATTATTGGTTAAATCTGTACACATAGGATTGGTTCACAACTGTTGAAGTTTCTGTAGCTAAATATTTAAAGAGTTAAGAAAACTCCACAGAAGAGCCCCAACATCCCACAGGGGACAAGAAGCCCCAGTGACCAGGGACCTTATCTCTCTCTTCTTGTAACCAGGGTATACAATCTCTCCCCCAGCAGACTGTGACCAGGCTAGCTCCATTCAGACTCCTTGCTTCATCCCATGGAACTGTAATTTCAGACTGTGGGACAGGGTAGTGCAGAGGCTAAGAGCCAGGGCTTTGGTGTTTGGATCCTGGCCTAGGCATTTACTAGTTATGTTACCTCAAGCAAGTAACTGTGCTGTCCTGTGCTGTTCCTTTTCCTTAAAAATTAGGAAAATACCTGTTTTGACCAGCGGTTGTGAAAAAAAAGCAAGAGAAAATGCTGATAAGTCATTAGGACAGTGGCTGGCACATAAGGCTAAATAAACTGAAGCTCATTAGTACATATCATGAGATGTGACCCCTGACTCTTAGCTGAGCCTACTGCCCAGCACCACCCCCCAATTCCCACCCCACCCCACTCATGTTCTCTCTTGCCTTTTTCTTCTGCAAAATGCTACATACAAAGAAAGCTCATTCACATGAGGAACAATTGCTTATAGAGAGAGGGTGAAAATTGGGACACGGAAAAGTTAACCCTTCCTCTTACAACCCATCTAGCCCCTACATGGATCACCCTTCCCAGGCAGAGGAGCCCCAGGGGAAGCTCTGGTTTCTAGGGGACATGGGACACCAATCGCACTCTTGCAGGTGAATTGGAATGGTGAACTCAAACCACTTCTATTGTATATTCTGAACTAGGCATCAAAAGGCTGCTGGTGTTTCTTAACAAATCTCAGTGGAGGGGAGCCAGATTACATGAAAATATAGGATGTCCCTAAGTTTTAATTTCAGGTAAAGAACAAACAACTTTTCAGTACCAGTATGTCCCATGCAATAGTTGTGATATTTGTTATTTATTTGAAGTTCATTAATGGAACATCTTACCGTTTACCTGGAAACTACCTACGTAGTCCTGCACAAGGGCACAGAGGAAAGATTAAAGTTATCCCCGGTGGGCTGCTTCCCACAACCTACTGGCCTCACCACCTAGAAGGATCTCTCTTCAACACCCAAGCAAAGCAAGTGGGCCAAGAAAGAACTTCTTCCTGAACTGCAGAGTCTAGCACCTGCCTTGACCTAGTGCCCAGCACCATGCCAGGCCACATAGGGTGATACAAATAGCTTCCCTCCTTCATTCCAGGCTGCTGGAGCTTCAGTACTGGGCCCAGAGAAGGTGTGAGGGTGTCAGGTCAGCTTTGTCTGGTTGGGGGCCTCCTAAGAGGAGTTGGGGTGGGGGGCGTCACTACTACCCACTTCATGGGGCTGTTGTGAAGATCAAATGAGAAAATGTCCAGGGATAAGTTTTGCAAATCCTTGGACAGTGCCCAGATTTTGATGAAAACCCCTGAGTGGCCCATTGTACTGCAGGGGTTCACAGCCCCCCTCTCCTGGGCTATGCCCTAGGGCAGGGCACAAAAAGTCAGAGCCTCTGGACACTGTGCCAGCGGTGACCAACTTCCGTCTAGCACTTTCACATTTACCCCTTCTAGAGCCCTTACCACAGCCTCAGGAGGTGAAGGCGGGTTGGGGACCCTTTTCCAGAGGGTGGTCAGGGTGGCCTGTATGGGGTCCCGTCTCGGAGATGAGGCCTGGTCCAAGAGGCTGGGAGTGGGGGTACCACTGATGTGGGCAGCGGAGCCCTGCCTACCTTCTGGGCCTGTTGGATCATCTGCCTGACCACCTGCTTGAGGTGGGGCGCCTTCTCCTCCTTGGGGGGATGGGTGAAGAGAGTGACGCGGCTCATGCCGCGGTAGAAGCCAGCGTCGGTCCAGCCCAGGTCCAGGGGGGGCACCTCGGTGTCGGAGCGGTCCGGCCAGTAGGCCAGGGACTCGCATGGTTCGGCCGGGACCTTCGCTGGGACATTGGCCTTGCTCTTGCTCTTGCCGCGGACGGCGGGGGCTGCGGCGGCCACGTCCTCGTAGGGGCTCCAGGCGGTGCACAGGGCCTGGCGCTCCTGGCTGGAGAGGAAGTCCCGCAGCCGCTCCTTCTTGAGCCGCTCGCGGTAGGCCTGCTCGCCGCGGCCCAGCAGCGCCTCCAGCGCGGCCCGCCGCCGCTCGCAGTAGTAGAAGGCGGCCTGAGCCTCGGTCACCTTCGGGTTCACGTGCGCCTCGTCCAGGCAGCTCAGCTGGGAATCGGCCATGGCGCCCCGGCCCCGGGCCGGCCCCTGCCCGGGCGCGGAGGTCCCACAGCCTCACCTGGAGCCTCCGAGGGGCGGGGCGGGGCGCCTCACCTGGCCGCATGGTCGCCTCGGCCCGCCCCTCGGCCGCGAGCAGGCCAATCCGCGAGGGCCACAGCGAGGGCGCGGCCGTCGGGCGGGGCGGGGCCGCCGCGCCCACCGCCCCCGCCGGGCTCGCCAGGCCCTCGGGGCTTTCCTGGGACGCGCTCCCGGGGCGGTCCGCCCGGGTGGAGGGCTCTGCCCTGGTTGGGGGCCCAGAATGGAAAGAAACTTGCAGCCTTAGACCCACGTGCAGCCTTTGGCCCACGTCTGCCTCCCGTGGCCGACCCCTTCCGATAGCCAGCCCCCGCAAACGCGCGGCAGGTGCGCGCTCACTTTTGGTCCAGGTCGGGCCCAGAGCACGTGTTCTGGCCAGAACGCCTTTAGGGCCGCTGATCTGACCCCTCGGAGTTAAGGGTCTTGGGGCCCCGCTGCTGGACGGAATTGCGACGGCTGCGCTGCGGGGAGCGAGGGTGGCGGTGGTGAGGGAAAGCAAAATGCTAATAAATTCATAGTTACCCGCCCACGTGTCCCAGTTCTGAGATCAGAGACCTCCCGGGGCTTTCAGTCCCACACCTTCTCTACAAAAAATAAAAATTAAAAAAAAAAAAAAAGAGACCCACCCAAACAGAAAGGACGTAAAAGGATGTAAGCAGCAGCAGTGGAATTTGTCCATTTTAATTTGAAGTGGTGTGCACACGTGTTTCTGTGTGTGTTTGGGCAAGATAGGCAGCCAGAGGCCTGATTACTATATTAGTGATGCAAAATGTATGTTTGAGCTTAAGGAAGGAAGCCACACATAGAGATACTCATTCGCAGTGTCTCCCCCCCCCCCCCCTCGCTCCCTCACACACACACACACACACACATACACACACACCACCACCACCACCAGTAGCAGCTCTGCTGTTTCTCATTGGATTAAATACAATCTTCTTAGTCATTAACGTATTATTTTGTTCTTGTGCTCTGTACAATTTGATTCTCCACATTCAAAATATTTTCAGATCATAGCAACTAAAGGTTCACATTTCTCTCATTTTACAGCACAGCATCTTAAGAGCTGGAAGGAGCTTTAGAAACTAGTCCAACCCCTTCATTTCACAAAAGAGGAAATTGAGGCCTAGAAACAAGTGCTTTGCCCAGGAGAGGCAGAGCCCTGGGGACTGTGGCTGTCTGGGAGATCTTTCTCCTACCGTGTAATCTCCCTGCCCTTTTTACTTTCCAGAGGTTGTGAAGAGGTCAGTTACCATTTCGAGGCCTTCCTTTGATGGTCTAGAAAAATGAGGGTTAGATTTTCAAACATCTGTAAGTTTTGTGACCATAGTCAGTTCTTTTTTAAAAAAAAAAAAATATTTATTTTATTTATATTATGTAGTTCTGAGGATCAAATCCAGGGCCTCGCACATGCTAGGCACGTGCTCTACCGCTGTGCCACAACCCCAGCCCCCCTAGTTCTGATACCCTGTGCCAGCCCAAAGATTGGGGGTAGTGAGCAGTACATGGTGCCTGTCACCCCATCTGTCCTTTGCCACTCTTGGGAATTAGAAGGCTTATGATACTCTATTGTTAAGTACTATAGGCAAATTCCATCTTTAGATGGGAAAGCACTTAATTTGTTTTCTAATAATTTGAGGCCCTACAAGATGCCAGACTTTGTGTTCTGGGGACACAGAGGCACTTAGATCAATGGGAGGGACAGACAGGGAAAACAAAGCAAAGGTGGATAGTAAGAGTGATGGAAATACTTTAATAAACAACAGTCAAATGCTTGGGAAGCAAACTGGCTCAACAAACATTTACTCAGTGCCTACTATATGCCTGGCACACAGTTGGTGCTCAGTACATATTTCTTAAAGAAAACGATGAATTAGGGCCAAGAGGAAGTTATATGTTCAGGGATCTGTGGAGAATATGAAGAAAAAAGCCACTTATCTGCCCAGTAGGATGTGGATAAGATGGGCTTCACCCAGTAGGAAAGGGCTCTGAGTCTAAAAGAAGAAGAATTGAAGGTGGGGAGAGGGAGTTAGACTGGGTGTGGTCAGAGCATCATGCTGGTGCCAGGCATATGTGGGTTCAGTTCAAGTTACCACCCCTTTCAGAGCCTTAGTGTCCTCATCTGTAAAATGGGATAATGGTGCTGACCTCTCTTGATGTCCTAGATTGTTGCGGGGGTTAGATGAAATCGTGCATTTGATTTAATTATTATTTGGGTCTGACTTATTAAAGTGGTTTAGAGCCTGTGCCTCCCATGCCTTATGGCCACAGGTTAAAATGCAGCTTCTGATTCAGAAGACGGCTACCAGGCCTGGGATTCTGCATTTCTGCCAATCCCCAGGCTGTGCTGGGAGTGTTGACCTACAGACTGAGCTTGGCATGGCAAGGATATCAGAGCTGGCAAATAAGAGCACGGACTTCTGTTGTGTATGTCCTGGAATGGACCCAGCTTTCCCAGAATTAGTGTTTGTCCCTAGGAGCATTATTTCTCCAGATGGGGACTTGGTTTCATTGTCAGAGAAATGCGGGCAGTAATAAGTTCTACCTCATGGGATTCTTTAAGAAGGGGAAACCCGTTGCTGGATATGTACCACTTTGCAAAAAGTCTGGCACAGGTAGCCACCCATAAAGAGTGTTGAAATGTAGGAAATTGAAACTAAAAAGAGAGGGACATTGGGGCCCAGCTGTGGGGACCTTGACTTTAGATCTTATTCTGTAGCTACAGGAGAGCCACTGAAGATTCAGAGACCATAAAACAAGCAAACAAACAAACAAAAAATAGTGGCAATTACTGTGTACCAAACACAACATAGTTTATAATTTAAATGAATTGTAGAATCCTATTAGAAAAATTGTTACCCTCATTTTACAGGTAAAAAAACTGAAGCACAAATAGGTTTGGTAGCTCACTCTTGGTGACCCAGCTAGTAAGTAGAAGAGACAGAATTCAAACCCAGACCATCTGACCCCAGAGTCTGTCAACCTACTCACCTTGCTGCATTGTCTTAATCAAGAATGTTAGAAAGGGGTAGTAGAAAGAGAAAATATTTACCTTGTTTAACAACCTACGCATTCAATAAACATTTGCCATGTGTCTAGCATGGTGTTAAGGGTGAGAAGTCATTCATCCAAAAATTTACCAAACCTTATTGAGCCTTACTTAGCACAAGGACCTGCTCTGGGTACTAGGGGTCCACTTGGAGCTTACATTGAACTCGAATGATTAAAACATGACTTTTGCTCTCAAGGAGCACAAAAGTTATGTGACATGGTTTTGGGTAGAAGGCTAGTGGCAGGGTAGAATATTTTAGAAACAATTCACATTGGAAAAGATCTTTCCCAGATCTGATAGGAAACTCACGGTGGTCTTTTTTTTTTTTTGTCACATTCACATTTACATACCAATGACTTACTTTTTCAATCGACACTTTTGAGAGGTGAAAGATAACATGCTTGCCACTGAGAAGAAAAGAGACATAATAGTTAGCTGCCCTGGTGATTCCCTTAGTTTAGCTGGAAGTCAAATATAGCAAAGGGTGGGGCATGTGGCTCAGTGGCAGGGTGCTTGCCCTGGCATGTGTGAGGTCCTGGGTTCCATCCCCAACCCGGAAAAACAAAACGAAACAGCAATCTTCATAAGGCAAGGTAATAAGTGGCACCGTGACATTCACAGAGGTTATAGTTCAAAGAGGCATTTAATGTACAATTATCTTATTGGACCTGGTCTCTCTGTGAGTCCCCATCTGTTAAAGGAGATTGTGGAAGAGATTATTGTGAAGTGTTACGAAGGAGTCAACTGAGGTCAGTGGGTGAGATGTATGTTCAGGGTTGTCTGCTGACAGCCTGATACGCAGCCTGGCCCACTCCCTCTACCCTACCCCACCCCCTACCCCTGCCAACCCCAGACAAATTCCATGCATTACTATTGCGATATTTTAAGAACCTGACCAGAGGTGGAAACTGATTTCTTTTAGGCCAGGCCCTACAGATTAAGTTTGGTAATTGAGCTTAATCTGGGCCCAGGGACACTCCTTGAGGTGGTGACACCCTGTGAAAGCCACTGATCCTCTACTGGTCCCTTGATTCTGAGTCTGGAGTTCCCCACAGTCTGGAGGTTGCCTTTCCAACCTCAGAGGCCACCTTGCCCAAGGTGACTGCCACCTTCTGAGAACTCCTGCCTGCTCTGGTAAGTCCCCTCAGGCTCCCCTTTCTCCTCCTTCTTCCTTCCTTCGAGGACACCGCCAGGGCACTTGGCTCTAATTCACCTTCCTCTCACCCTCTGCTGTGCACACTGCAGGCTGAGTGTTCGGTGAAGATATGACACCTTATAGTTAGCATTAATTGTGGCTGTGTTCATCCCCGCACACGTCTATTTTCCTAGGCCTTCCTGTATAATTTGAGTCCCAAAATAGCCCACCTCATGATATATTCTTAGATAAGTTTCCAGGGGTGACTTTTTCCCCCTTCTGTAACCATTTGTCACGAGTGCCTGTTATGAAACTTTGGGGGCTCTCTCACACTGCGGTAAAAAATTTTTCTTGCTCCTGTTCTCAGAGAGGGTAAGAGGTTGCACCTGGCCGGAGAGGCCCAGCATCTCGGACCCAGCAAGTCCAGAGCAGCCTTCTCGGGGCCACCCGACTGTCCCAGGAAACACATACACAGAGGCCTGGCACCTGCCGGTTTGCAACTTACTTGGGGCTTTTGTGTATTCATTTGGTGACTCCTTATTGAGCTCTAATTATGTGGTGGGCATTTCCTGCCTCCGGACCTTCCAGACAGAGGCCTTTGTTCTATGGTCCCTGACCCTTGTGGCCGCTCTGCTTTCTCTGACACAGTGGATTTTTCACCCCCTCTGCCACTCTGTCGCCTTCATCCATCTTTACGCGTTGGTGTCCCTCAGGGTCCATTCTTGGCCTTTCCTGTGTTTTACGCTTCACTGCTTCCTGGGCCAACTTCCTATGCTTGGATGACTCCTGAACTTCCGTTTCAACCCCAGAAAGCCCCCCTCACCTCCAT